ATTTTTGTGGAATATTACCAGCCACCATTGACTGAAATAATGATGGAATAACATTTGTTTCATATTATGTTGTTTATTTCATCAAAATAAGAGGAACAATGTTGTACAATGTAGTAGTAGCTGGTGCATATCATATTTGATGTAATATCTTTAGTTTAATAGTGTTTCAACTTCTCTCCTGTTTTATTCAGTTTTCCCCACATTTGGAGCAGAATCAACTGAGAATGCAAATAACAAAATAAATAATGACAAACATATTGTTTCTGTAGATTGTGACATTTACATGTGATGATACAGTGGAAGATTTAACAACACACTTTATCTTTTTTCTTTCAATGAGAAGCTTTAGCATCATAAGACTGGCATGAAGGTCATGAGAATGGGATAGGATTTACAGTTTAACCAGCCACCGAAATTTTAGTTACATTTAAGCACCTAACCAGACGCTAGTTCTAAACCGAATTATTTGTCAATATATTACAATGTTAAAACAATATGAAACATGTAACAGGCAGAAAGTACAATTCATTAAGAAATTACAAGTCTTCCAAGGCCAAACGATTGTTTTGTATTTAAAAAAAAAAAGGCCCAAAGCATGTGACGCTCAGACCCTCCACACATTCAAACATGAATGCCTGAAGGATGATGGGAAATGCCATTGGCTCTCACGAGTCTCATGACTGATTGTAACATCGCTTCTTTTGAATGAGATGTAACCGTGTTCAAAAGCTTCAACGGCAGCATGAGTAAACTGCAATACTTTTATAGTGCTTTTTGACATTTATTTATTTATTTGGAAAAAAACATGTTATCCTCCCGTTTAAGGATGGAATGAGGTTGAGTGCTAAATAAATCTAAAAATATAATTTTCCTATTTTTTCAGAACTGATTGAGAACAATGTAATACATAATCATTATGTGAATCTTTCTTTAGAAATAAATACAGCTGCTGACGAATTTTAGCCAGCACAATAATAAAGATGTTTTGCGAAAATGAACATTTAAAGTGACGGCAAAACACCTTTTCTTTGTCATTGAGAAAACTTTTTCGTATGGGCATCTCTCTAGTGTACCTCGCTAGCGAACTTGAGAAGGTCTTTGCACTGAGTGCAAGTTTTGGCAACCAGATTGCAAACTGATTTTCTAAAAGATGTTCTATATTGGCAAATCAGTTTGCATTGATCAGATTGCATCGTCATCCCTAACTACAAACAATAACACATTGAGAATTCGCTATGAGGGACACATCTTCGAGACATCTGGTCACCCTAATTACTCTGTGTGGCTCCCACTATGCACAGGTCAGAAACTGTCATGCATGCCCTGCTATAAAAACCTGCTTAAACCGGCCTGATCTCATTTCAAGCTACTGTTGCTCAGTCTTAACAGCTGAAAAGTGCCAAACTCCTCTAAAACCAGTTTAAACTGATTTATAATCTCTGCTAGTATAGGGAGGATTAATTCATTTACTGCTTATTTTATTGAAAAGCTTTATGGTGATTGTGCATGTTGTTTGCCGTTAGCTGTAATTAGAATCTACACAAATACTCTTCCTATTCCTATTGTCCCTCAGTGGAAACACTCTCACACAACACGCAGGAGACAGTGCAATCATGCTAACCTGCATCCCATGCACAACTCTTCTATTGCACCCCTTTCTTTTTCTCTGGCCTCTGGAACTGTCAGTCAGCTGACTTTATACCAGCCTTTGCCACTCGGTCAGTTCTGAGTCTCTTAGGCCTGACTGAGACCTGGGTTAAGCCTGAAGACACCGCTACCCCTGCTGCTCTTTCCAACAACTTCTCTTTCACCCAGACCCCCGTCAGTTTGGGAGCGGTGGGGGTGCTGGTCTCCTCATTTCCCAAAAGCTGGAAATACCTCACATGCTCCTATAACTTTAACAATACTTCCTTTGAATTACATGCCTTTACAGTCACACTCCCTGTAAAAATCCGCATTGTAGTTATTTATCGCCCTCCAGGTCGGCTAGGCGACTTTCTGTTGACTATGCTGATGTCCTCATTCCCGGAGGATGGCAGCCCTCTGGTACTTTTTTTTTTTTTTTTTTTTGGCTGACTTCAGCATCCACCTTGAGAAAGCACGTGCTACTGACTTCTGCTCTCTCCTAGCCTCTGCTCTTTCATGGCTCCATCAGAACAGACCCAGCTGTGGGTCACGACCCACCAGTTGAGAACACATTTCTTTAGAGGTTTGGCTCGACTGTCTTTAACATCCCATTACAAGTTGCTTTCAATTTGTATAAAATGATAGAAATAAGTGCTTATCTCACTCTCTTTGTAACTTTTCATTTTAATCTTAAAAACATCTCGCATCATGTAAATGACCCCCAGTGAATGTTTTTAAAGTGAGTTTATTCAAGATTTGAAATGATTGCCAAGTTATTATATGTTGCACTGCTATTACTGAATTATGTAGTGGTAAAGTATTCATTATGAATATTTTATTGATGTTGTGTTTTTATTGGTGTGTTGTTAGACACTAAACATATAGCATTTATAATACATAAGCAAGAGAATACACTTACATGCATTAACATGATACAGACCTGTCTGCACAGTTGTCCTCTGATAAAACATTGCATGTGTTTATCTTTTTTATTTCAAACCCTAAACTATTTCGATGTTCACATATTTACCCCGTTGACCTGCTATTCACAATGCCTGTTCTCTTGCTCCCTTTAAATTCAGTAAAGTACCTGTAATTTTTTTCAATTTAGGTGAAAAATAAATTATGTAGACGCAGTTGCACTTTATTAGATGCTACATTGCACATGCATTTTTGTTCAGAGACAGCGGAAGAGCATGTTACTGTCGGTGTGAAAGCACCAGAGAGGGTTTGGTGGCTGTATAAAGCCACAAGGTTCATAGAATCAACATAATCTGATTGTGTGGAGATATGAGCCGTCTATCACTTAATAGTTGACAATTGACATTAGTGGCACTAC